ACCTTGTAGTTTACCAATAAAATGGGCGGATGGTGAAGTAGACATACTTGGTATTCACATCTCAAAAAATATAAATGAACTTACCACAATCAATTTCAATGAAAGTTTGCAAAAATAGATACGATTCTGCAAGTGAGTGACGCAGTGGTCTAAGGCACTGCATCGCAGTGCTAGCTGTGCCACTAGAGATCCTGGTTCGAATCCAGGCTCTGTCGTAGCCGGCTGCGACCGGGAGACCCATGGGGTGGCGCACAATTGGCCCAGTGTTGGGGAGGGAATGGCCGGCAGGGATGTAGCTCAGTTGGTAGAGCATGGCGTTTGCAACGCCAGGGTTGTGGGTTCGATTCCCACGGGGGGCCAGTATGAAAAATGTAAAAATTAAAATAATGTATGCACTCACTGACTGTAAGTCGCTCTGGATAAGAGCGTCTGCTAAATGATTAAAATGAAAATGTAAATACTTGTCTATGAATGGAAAATCACATTGATTAACTCTTTGGTCCTATCACAGTTTACTTACTTATTAATGGCGTTGCCTACTCCAGACGACTCATTTTTTAAATCATATGAGTAAAACATATTTCATTTTCTTTGGAATGCTAAGCCAGACTAAATTAAATGTGCCTATTTATATAATGAATATGAGTTTGGGGGGTAAGAATTATGAAATATTTTAAGCTTTAAACCTCTCACTAAAAGCTTCAGTCATACATAAGTTATACTTAAACCCAAAATGGTTCTCCAGTAGATTATTAAGAAAGGCTCATCCTTTGTTCAAAAATGGCCTTTTTGCCTTTATACAGATTACAACTTCTCATTTACGACTAATTGAAAATGTAATTTCGTTTAAAGTATTGCCCTTTCTTAAACAAGCCATACAAAGCTGGTTACAATTTCAGTTTTATCCTCCAGAAAAGATAGAACAAATATTACAACAAATGTCATGGATCAGGGTGTGAGTTTCTGTTGAGATCTATGTTATTGTATTTCTATGTTGTAAATCTAGTTTGCTTTTTCTATGTTTGGCCGGGTGTGATTCCCAATCAGAGGCAGCTGTCGCTCGTTGTCTCTGATTGGGGATCATACTTAGGTAGCCTGGTTGCCTACCTTAGTTGTGGGATCTTGACTCGTGTTTCTGTTAGGCTTGTTGTGTGTATAGCCCATAGGACTTCACATTTTCATTGTTTTGTTATTTTGTCAAGTGTTTATTAATCTTAATAAACATGTACGCAAACCACACTGCACCTTGGTCTGACCCGTCTCTCAACGATCGTGACAGAACCAACTGATTGCAGCATTACCACAAAAATGGAGGCAAGTGGAAAAGGGAGAAGGTAGGGAACGTATTTGCCTGCCATATACTCAAGATACAAATTGGCTGAAAGGAATTGACATAAATAGAAAATAGTTTCATTTGAGGACAAAAATGTTGACAGCTGCGCCATACAGGTTGCAAAATAAATGGAAAGAGATTTTCGATGTACCGATTCCATGGCACATGGTTTATGAACTGGTACAAAAAACAACACTTGATTCAACACTGAGTTTTTCAATTTAAATTATTTACATTTACATTTTAGTCATTTAGAAGACGCTCTTATCCAGAGCGACTTACAGTTAGTGAATACATCTTTTTTTATACTGCCCCCCCGTGGGAAACGAACCCACAACCCTGGCGTTGCAAACGCCATGCTCTATCAACTGAGCTACATCCCTGCCGGCCATTCCCTCCCCTACCCTGGACGACGCTGGGCCAATTGTGCGCCGCCCATGAGTCTCCCGGTCGCGGCCGGCTGCGACAGAGCCTGGATTCGAACCAGGATCTCTAGTGGCACAGTTAGCACAGTGCCTTAGACCACTGCGCCACTCAGGAGTACAACATTCTTGTTTATACAACATTCTTGCCACCAACAGAATACTATATATATATATATATATATATATATATATATATATATATATATATATATATATATATATATATATATATATATATATATATATATATATATATATATATATATATATATATATATATATATGGGGCATACAACAATCTCAGCTCTGTAGATTTTGTTGCGAAAGAGACAGAAGCACAAGATAATTTATTCAGGCATTGCCCCTATGTAGCTTGTCACAGGTTCAGGAATGGTTAAAAAATCACAACATTCACTTAAAATGAACCTTACAAATAGCAGTGTTGGGCGATTTGGAAAGCCATGGTCAGTCAATAAATAATATAATACTCGTAGGAAAGGTTTTCATCTTTAGCTCACAATCTGTGGATACTATATGATTAGAAAGGTTCAACATTTATGTAAAAAATCTGAGCACAATTGAAAAATGTATGGCACATGGAAACCAAACGAGGGTGGTCTATGGTGATAGGTGGGATGGGCTGAAAGTGGCTGAGGGGTGGGATTAAAGAGATTATGTTTGGTAATGTATGTTTATGTGATTGCTTTATTTAAAAGTACCATCTATGTACAATGTGTATGCAAAATGTGTATGTAAAATGTATGTATATGTAGCAGGAAAGCTGTGAAAAAAAGTGTTGGAATTGTTCATTTTGCAATCTGAATATGTATATGTTATGGTATTTATGTCATAGTAATTCTCACCTCTGAACCTTGACCAGTTGCTATGCTGGATGGGTATTTTATTTCTACTATTTCCATAATTTATATTGTCAAAAAAACAATAGAGACACGTGTATAAAGAAAAGGCACCTCGCATTACATATGTGAAAGATGCAAACCTTTTATTTGAACCTTCATTTGAGAGTCTGCATTTGCACACTATTCTGGTTTAGATGTGAAACCTAAGGAGTTTTATATTTTTCCACACCAGTCCCCCAGTATGTCATATTAATCATAATTTGTGCGAGAGAGAGAAATCTGAAATGTTAATATTCTGAATTCTAAGTAATGCTGGTTTTGGGGTTATGTTTTAATTTCCCTCCCACTGCCTGAATACTATTTACTTTGACATTGTGCAAATGAGGATGCATGAATTTATAAGTAATCAGGAAAATAGGAATAATTATCCCACCAATCCAGTCCAGTATAAATAACTTTTCCATCCAAATGTAACTCCAAAGTCCTACCTACTTATTTGAAGTATTTGAAGGGGAGAGTTACTGATGTCTTTCTATTAGAACATGAATTAGGGCCAAGAGTTTTTCCAGGTCAGGTCACAAGGTCAAGTAAAATTCCTGGTCCTAACTATTTCAATTACAGCCAGAAGTTTTCCCTTGAGCAAGTGGCTTGACCAGGAAAACTCTAGCCTCTAGTAGCCTATGTCAAGGGTTCGGGAAGAACTCCTAGCCCTATACATGATGCCTTGAAAAAACGTATAGCCTACGCAGGACCAAGACTTCTTCATAAGGTCACATTTTCAGGAAAACTCCAGGCCCTACATATGATTGGCTTCATTCTGCCAGAATAATGGTCTGAAAATACAGATCTGTGGTCTACCAGATCCCTCAACCATGTTTGGTCACACTCATACGTCTCCCTAACTAAACCCACAACCACTCAACCTAAACCTCCAACCGCATCTTCAATTCAGGAAACCTACAATGTTTTCTCGTGTGGCGTCACAGCCGGACAGATTCTGTGAAAGGGGGTAATGAAAAATATTTCAGTTCAAAACCTTCCGTGGTTACTCTCCATCGATTTTTAGCTTCTTAACTCGGTTGCATGTGGGACTGTTTCTGGCGAGCTCTCACTGTGCCCACTGCTCTTCCCTCCCCAATTATTTTTTTCTCTCTCTCTTTCTTCATCTCTCTCGCTCCCTCTCACCTCCCCTCTCTCCCTCCCTCTCTCCCTCCAATTGAAGTGCACTTAGAAGGACACCAAGAAGCATAATTGGTTCTGTCATATAATAATGAGCCTATTTCGCCTCCATGTTTTCCTACCCAGAAAGCCAGCAGATTGTTTTGTGGATACATTCTCGATTAATGGATTTACGAAAGAGGAAGTGGATTAAATAAATTGCTCCCTAGTGCTGATGGTAGGGCAATCACACTTTTGTTTCCGAAAATTGTTTTCCTATCCTGATAGCCTCCGAAGCTTGTGCTCTAATTACAGGTTTGTAACACTTTGGACTGCATAGGCTAACAGCTTGAGTGTTTGCTTGCCGAGGCACTGGGATCATATAGGATGATTTTCCTAAGACATGCCACTGAGCATTGCTTGCGAGAGTTAAAGATTTCTCTTGACAGAGAATAATGAGGCTATTGATTGTCTCTACGAGATATTTACCCACGTCTACCTCCAAAACCACAAAGGGCATCGACAACAGGAGAGGACGTGAAAGGAGCAGTTTCCTCTGTATGCTGTCAGGAGATTTCATAGTTATTCTCTCAATAGAAACATCTGGAAATAGCCATTTCAATTCCTTATGCATCAATGTTCCTCTCTGACAATGAAGTATACACTGAGTATTCAAAACATTAAGAATGCCTGATCTTTCCATGACATTGACAAAACATTTAAGTGCCTTTGAATAGTTTATGGTAGTAGATGCCAGGCACATTGGTTTGAGTGTGTCAAGAACTGCAAAGCTGCTGGGTTTTTCACGCTCAACAGTTTCCTGTGTGTATCAAGAATGGTTCACCACCCAAAGGACATCCAGCCATTTTGACACAACTGTGGGAAGCATTGGAGTCAGCATGGGCCAGCATCCATGTGGAACGCTTTCAACACATTGTAGAGTCCATGCCCTGATGGATTTAGGCTATTCTGAGGGCAAAAGGGGGTGCAACTCAATACAAGGAAGGTGTTCCTAATGTTTTGTGCATTTTGTGTATATCTTTACATCATAAATAACGTAATGCAGGTTCACTTGGTTGAAGGTTGCAAGATGAGTAATGATTGATACATTTATGAAGGTTTTAGATGAATCCCAGTAGTTAACTCAGGTTGACAACAATGAGTCACAGATTATAGAAGTGAACACAAAGGGAATACTCAGTGTCTTGGCTCAGTGTGTTCCAGGTTACTACAGCAGGACAGGCCAGCTACTATGTGTCCTACCAGAGGGATCCATTCCTCAAAATCAAACTGCCAAAATATTCTCTGCCTAAGGTAAGCAACATTCAGTTTACAGTGATGAACACATGCCTACGGTGATACATATAGTAGATCAATTATTCAGATTGAATACTTTTTTTATTTTGCTAATTTTTCTTACTTTTTAACTCTGCATTGTTGGGAAAGGGCTCGTAAGTATTTCACTGTAAAGTCTACACCTGTTGAATACGGCGCATGTGACCAAAACAATTTGATTTGATTTGAAGTAACCTACAATTTCCCCTCTTGTTTTCTCCCTGTAACAAAAGGATTTAGCTCCAGAAATATATGTAGCATTACTACACAATGGTGTGTAGTCTCATAGTGTGTAGTTTCACTCATGTAGTCTCACTCTTCTATTGTGTGGTGGATATTCTAAATTACCAAATGAGGAGAGACAAACTCAATCACCAATCAGGTTATACTTAATCAAAAAGCTTTATTGTACTTATCAATAAGGGAGCCGTCACAACATGCACACAGAGTGGATATAGTGAGAGCTCTGTAATAATGAGGCTGGTCGAGCTCTGACTTACAGAGATAAACAGAGGTCTTATATAGTTGACCTATAAATGCTTAGTCATGGCTGGTTCCACCACAACTGTCTCAATGTGTTGAACCAACCGATATCTACTGGATGAGCTGGCTAACTATTCTGTCCTCTGTGTTCTCTTGCGAGTACTAAGAACTGTTTGTTCTTAAAATAGAGGATAAGGAGAGACTTCGTTCGGAACAGAGATACCTTGTATCCTTACATGCAAGTTTCAGAGTACAGAGGGTGGGAGTAAGAACATGAGATGTGCACAGCTGTGGTGGACCAGGTACAGAGATGTTAAAACAGCAACTTACACAACCAGAGTAACAGGATTGTACACACCTATCATTTATATTAACCTTAAAGTAATGCTAATACTAATTATTTTTCTCTCACAATTGCAGCTGTTAAAATACACTATATGGTGTGTAGAGTACATGGGCAGCTACAGTGTTAAATATTCAATATGCACACCAGACCTGATCTTCTGATACCCAACACGTACTCAGCAGCTTGTTACAACCCCCACCCATGTGATCCATTAACTCTTGATAAATACTCTAACCTCTCCAATCCACCATCCTCTGCCACCAGGATCTCCACATCATCAGCACAGACGAGCACCAGGTCTGTACCTCTCCGACACCCGGGGCATCCTCTTCACCCTGGCCATGGAGAACGTCAAGACCACCTGGGGCCTGGGGGGGCCACCATATGCTGGACCTGTACGAGATAAGTGTTCACATTGTGTGTGTGTCTGGAGGGGGGGATTGGTTGAAATGACGCCAATCCAGTTTTCCATTACTTTGTTGTAACTAGTTTAATCCTCTGGGTATGCATGCATGTGCTAATCACAAACTATTGTAAACTGAAGTTATGCTATATGTATCGCTTCAAAATGTCACTTTAGTAATATTTTTGGGGAAGAGACAGACTATTCCTCTGAGTTCCTCTGAAAAAGACTGCAGATATAATTCTGACCAAAGTCCTTTTTTTATTTAATTTTTTTATTTGTATAGGGGGTAGATCAGCTTTAATATTGCAGATAGATTGTAACTTCCATCAATGTAATTGTCTGCATCACTTCCAATCTCCCATGTTATTTTTTTCTCGCAAATATATACAGTGAGGGAAAAAAGTATTTGATCCCCTGCTGATTTTGTACATTTTCCCACTGACAAAGACATGATCAGTCTATAATTTTAATTTAATTTAATTTTTAGGTTTATTTGAACAGTGAGAGACAGAATAACAACAAAAAAATCCAGAAAAACACATGTAAAAAAAATTATAAATTGATTTGCATTTTAATGAGGGAAATAAGTATTTGACCCCTCTGCAAAACATGACTTAGTACTTGGTGGCAAAACCCTTGTTGGCAATCACAGAGGTCAGACGTTTCTTGCAGTTGGCCACCAGGTTTCCAAACATCTCAGGAGGGATTTTGTCCCACTCCTCTTTGCAGATCTTCTCCAAGTCATTAAGGTTTCGAGCCTGATGTTTGGCAACTCGAACCTTCAGCTCCCTCCACAGATTTTCTATGGGATTAAGGTCTGGAGACTGGCTAGGCCACTCCAGGACCTTAATGTGCTTCTTCTTGAGCCACTCCTTTGTTGCCTTGGCCGTGTGTTTTGGGTCATTGTCATGCTGGAATACCCATCCACGACCCATTTTCAATGCCCTGGCTGAGGGAAGGAGGTTCTCACCCAAGATTTGACGGTACATGGCCCCGTCCATCGTCCCTTTGATGGGGTGAAGTTGTCCTGTCCCCTTAGCAGAAAAACACCCCCAAAGCATAATCTTTCCACCTCCATGTTTGACGGTGGGGATGATGTTCTTGGGGTCATAGGCAGCATTCCTCCTCCTCCAAACACGGCGAGTTGAGTTGATGCCAAAGAGCTCGATTTTGGTCTCATCTGACTACAACACTTTCACCCAGTTCTCCTCTGAATCATTCAGATGTTCATTGGCAAACTTCAGATGGGCCTGTATATGTGCTTTCTTGCGCAGGGGGACCTTGCGGGCGCTGCAGGATTACAGTCCTTCACTGCGTATTGTGTTACCAATTGTTTTCTTGGTGACTATGGTCCCAGCTGCCTTGAGATCATTGACAAGATCCTCCCGTGTAGTTCTGGGCTGATTCCTCACCGTTTTCATGATCATTGCAACTCCACAAGGTGAGATCTTGCATGGAGCCCCAGGCTGAGGGAGATTGACAGTTATTTTGTGTTTCTTCCATTTGCGAATAATCAAACCAACTGTTGTCACCTTCTCACCAAGCTGCTTGGCGATGGTCTTGTAGCCCATTCCAGCTTTGTGTAGGTCTACAATCTTGTCCCTGACATACTTGGGGAGCTCTTTGGTCTTGGCCATGGTGGAGAGTTTGGAATCTGATTGATTGATTGCTTCTGTGGACAGGTGTCTTTTATACAGGTAACAAGCTGAGATTAGGAGCACTCACTTTAAGAGTGTGCTCCTAATCTCAGCTCGTTACCTGTATAAAAGACACCTGGGAGCCAGAAATCTTTCTGATTGAGAGGGGGTCAAATACTTATTTCCCTCATTAAAATGCAAATCAATTTATAACATTTTTGACATGCATTTTTCTGGATTTTTTGTTTGTTATTCTGTCTCTCACTGTTTATATAAACCTACCATTAAAATTTTAGACTGATCATTTCTTTGTCAGTGGGCAAACGTACAAAATTAGCAGGGGATCAAATACTTTTTTCCATCACTGTATATATACAGTGTATATACAATTGAAGTCGGAAGTTTACATACACTTAGGTTGGAGTCATTAAAATTCGTTTTTCAACCACTCCACAAACTATAATTTTGGCAACTTGGTTAGGACATCTACTTTGTGCATGACACAAGTAATTTTTCCGACAATTGTTTACAGACAGATTATTTCATTTATAATTCACTGTATCACAATTCCAGTGGGTCAAACGTTTACATACACTGAGTTGACTGTGCCTTTAAACAGCTTGGAAAATTCCAGAAAATGATGTCATGGCTTTAGAAGCTTCTGATAGGCTAATTGACATCATTTGAGTGTATTGGAGGTGTTCCTGTGGATGTATTTCAAGGCCTAGCTTCAAACTCAGTGACTCTTTGCTTGACATCATTGGAAAATCAAAAGAAATCAGCCAAGTCTTCAGAAAAACAATTGTAGACCTCCAGAAGTCTGGTTCATCCTTGGGAGCAATTTCCAAATGCCTGAAGGTACCACGTTCATCTGTACAAACAATAGTAGGCAGGTATAAACACCATGGGACCACGCAGCCGTCATACCGCTCAGGAAGGAGACGTGTTCTGTCTCCTAGAGATTAACGTACTCTGGTGCGAAAAGTGCAACTCAATCCCAGAACAACAGTAAAGGACCTTGTGAAGATGCTGGAGCAAACAGGTACAAAAGTATCTATATCCACAGTAAAACGAGTCCTATATCGACATAACCTGAAAGGCCTCTCAGCAAGGAAGAAGCCACTGCTCCAAAACCGCCATAAAAAAGTCAGACTACGGTTTGCAACTGCACATGGGGACAAAGATCGTACTTTTTGGAGAAATGTCCTCTGGTCTGATGAAACAAAAATAGAACTGTTTGGCCATAATGACCATCGTTATGTTTGGAGGAAAAAGGGCAAGCCTTTTTCGCTTGCAAGCCGAAGAAAACCATCCCAACCGTGAAGCATTTATTGATTTATTTTTTATTTTACCTTTATTTAACTAGGCAAGTCAGTTAAGAACAAATTCTTATTTACAATGACGGCCTACACCGGCCAAACCCGGACGACGCTGGGCCAATTGTGCGCCGCCCTATGGGACTCCCAATCACGGCCGGTTGTGATACAGCCTGGAATCGAACCAGGGAGTCTGTAGTGACGCCTCAAGCACTGAGATGCAGTGCCTTAGACCACTGCGCCACTCGGGAGCCCTGGGGGTGGCAGCATCATGCTGTGGGGGTGCTTTGCTGCAGGAGGGACTGGTGCGCTTCACAAAATAGATGGCATCATGAGGAAGGAAAATTATGTGGATATATTGAAGCATCATCTCAAGACATCAGTCAGGAAGTTAAAGCTTGGTCGCAAATGGGTCTTCCAAATGGACAATGACCCCAAACATACTTCCAAAGTTGTGCCAAAATGGCTTAAGGACAACAAAGTCAAGGTATTGGAGTGGCCATCAAAAAGCCCTGACCTCAATACTATAGAACATTTGTGGGCAGAACTGAAAAAGCGTGTGCGAGCAAGGAGGCCTACAAACCTGACTCAGTTACACCAGCTCTGTCAAGAGGAATGGGCCAAAATTCACCCAACTTATTGTGGGAAGCTTGTGGAAGGATACCCGAAACGTTTGACCCAAGTTAAACAATTTAAAGGCAATGCTACCAAATACTAATTGAGTGTATATAAACTTCTGACCCACTGGGAATGTGATGAAATAAATAAAAGTTGAAATAAATCATTCTCTCAACAATAATTCTGACATTTCACATTCTTAAAATAAAGTGGTGATCCTAACTGACCTAAGACAGTGCATTTTTACTAGTATTAAATGTCAGGAATTGTGAAAAACTGAGTTTACATGTATTTGGCTAAGGTGTATGTAAAGTTCCGACTTCAACTGTATATACATATACATACATACATATATACATACATACATATATATACATACACACACACACACATATATATATATATATATATATATCCTTAAAAAAAATATATTTCCCTTTATTACTTTCCAACCCCAACACCCCTTCCCTAATTGGAGTAAACTTGTCAACAACAATGCTTAGGCCTCTACTTCCAGCGTATACATACTATATAGGTTTTATGGACACAGTCAATTTTACAATAATTCTATTTTGTTTGTTTTTACTCCTGAACTTCCTCTACCCTCAACCTCTCCTTTGCTTCTATATGCCATATTTTTCTAACTGTGCTCTTTCACAAAAGCTCTCAACCTATAACCTATATATTTATTATGGACAAAGTATGCTTTACATTAGTTATATTGTTGTTATTAGTTGTTATTAGTCCCATCCTTCAACACCTCCCATCTATCTCTTAACACCATCCATATTGGATTTCTATTTGCCATATATTTTTCAACTGTACTGTGATGTTTTACAAAAGTTCTGAACCCTTCTATTCTCATTGTTTCTACAGATTGTAAATTGAAAATAAACATTTTTGCTAAAAGTATTATGATATTATTGATCGATTGACTATGACTTTCCAGATCACCCAGTAGTGCTATCTGCAGGGTTAGCTCCAGGTAAATTTGCAATCCTTTAGCCATTCCTGGACCTGTGTCCAAAAACAAGCCACAAATGGACAGTACCAAAACAAATGATCTAATGATTCTGTCTTTTTGCAGCAAAATCTGCAGAGCTGGGAAGATTGTATCCCCCATATAAATTACATTCTATTGGTAGCAAGAATTTTGTATAATAATTTAAACTGAAAAATTCTAAGTTTTGAATCAGGCATCGTTTTGCGTATCAGTTCATAAACACTATGCCATGGAATCAGTACGTCAAAAATCTCTTCCCAACTATTTTGCAATCTATATGGGATGCCTGTCAATCCTTTGGTCCTTAAATGAAACTAGTATACTGTTTTATTTATCACAATTTTATTTAACCAATTATGTTCTTTAATGCATGGCCGACAGACAAGTTCCTTACTTTTTCCCCCTTCCACTTTCCTCTTCCATTTTTGCGGTAATGCTGCAATTATTTGGTTGTAATTTAGGGTAGAGCAGACTTTTCCATATGTTTTTGTTAGCTGCATGTGTGACATAACTCCACCAGTCCTACCTATGATATCATTTTCGAAGATTATACCTTTTTAAAACATTTTTTCAAATACTCTTCTCCCTGGTCTCATCAAATAATTAATTGCCCCTCATTAGTATGATCTCACTTTATCTTTCTCAGTCTTTCTCTCTCTCAAATAAATTATATTATTCACTGGAATAAAAAGAATAGAAAGGATGTTATTGACCAGAATAAAAAAAATATGTTTCCCACTTTAGCCTAATGGCAGTAATTTGAGTGTCAGTTGGATTCAATCTGGAAAATCTTTCCTTCAATCAAAACGTTTTTCTTTAACTCCCAGTCGAGTTAAATGTAACCATTTAGTGTTAGGTTTTTGATTCAATCCATCTCCCAGAGGTATGAACTTCAACACTGAATATTACAGAACATCCTAACTTGCCTAACAGAATTAATACACAGTGGTAGGCCAACAAATCAACGACAACCCAATGATGAACCATCTGATTCCCTACTTACTCAGAGCTATAAATAGCTTTTGAATGAGTGAGTGGTAGGAGGGAGGGAGGAAGAGATGGAGGGATGGAGGGAGTGTTAGCTAGATGATTTGGGGCCATGGGGCGGCACACAATTGGCCCAGCGTCGTCCAGGGTAGGGGAGGGAATGGCCGGCAGGGATGTAGCTCAGTTGGTAGAGCATGGCGTTTGCAACGCCAGGGTTGTGGGTTTGATTCCCACGGGGGGTCAGTATGAAAAATAAAATAAAATAAATAATGTATGCAGTCAGTAACTGTAACTCACTAAATGTAAATGTAAATGATTTAGGTAATGTAATGGTCATGATGATGCTGCTCCTTTCTGTTAGCATAGTGGTGTGTGTGTGTGTGTGCGTGTGTGTGTGTGTGTATTAGCTCTCTGCCAACCCCCCCCCCCCCCCCCCCATTTCCCCCCTATTCAGAGCCTCTGATTCTCTGATTCAGCAGTGGATCCATATTTCTAATATTTCTAAACTTAATTAATGCACATTGAAAGATTGTAAAAGGCTGTCTGTGGGGAGGCCGAGTGCATGTACTGAGGGAAGTCTGGTTTCTCAGTGGTCGTTTATCATACTAGTGCTACTGTGCTGAAAGTTGTTGTGTTGTTTGTTTTGTCTATGTAGATGGATCCACATGCATACATAAGTCTGTATTTAATATTACTAGAGTGCTGGACGTTGTTGTTTTGCCTACGTAGATGTTTCCACACACACGCATACAGGTAACTGCCAAAATAAAGGAAACACCAACATAAAGCATCTTAATAGGGTGCTGGGCCAGCACGAGCCACCAGAACAGCTTAAATGCGCCTTGGCATAGATTCTACAAGTTTCTGGAACTCTATTGGAGGGATGAGACACCATTATTCCACAAGAAATTCCAGAATTTTGTGTTTGAATCAGGCCAGAGACATACTATAATACTGGAAGGGCCCCTGAGGCCCCTCAGGAAGTGTGATACGACTGGAGGCCCTCAATGTCTGCTGCATTATGGGTCTTATTTAAAGCACAGTCGTCAGGTTTACCCCCATCACACTTCCATCCTGGATGGGTTATCGTAGGTAGACAGTTTGACTAAGGAGGCAAGGAGCCATGACACCTCTCTCTCTCTCTCTCTCTCTATTTGTGAGTGGGTGTCACGTGGAGGTGGCAGTTTAACAGTTTTAACGGCCAGCGTTGTACTGTAGACACAACAGTGGCAGACGGTTGACAAGGACGCAATTAAAGGGAGACAATTAAAGGAAAAGGAGACTGGTTTTGTGACCAGTCTGATTTCTGTCAGCATAGCCGTGGGAAAATATTGGGGAATCGGGTGGATTTTTTTGGGCCGCCCTAGAGACAGCTCATCATGTTCGTCGTGTAAAGGATTGGACCAAGGTGCAGCGTGGTATGCGTACATAGTCGTTTATTATAGAAACACCAAACAAAACAACAAAAGCAACGTAACTTGAAGTTCTAATGGGCTACACATAAACAAGCCAAACCAGAAACAAGATCCCACAACTAAAGGTAGGCAAAATGGCTGCCTAAGTATGATCTCCAATCAGAGACAACGATCGACAGCTGCCTCTGATTGGGAACCACACCCGGCCAACATAGATATTCAAAACATAGAATGTACACCCTGACCAAACCAACAGGCATTAAAGGTCAGGGCGTGACAGTATCATTTAAATTCAAATGATCATTATCATTTGCCCACGCCACAGACGGCTATATCGGTCCGCTAATACAGCACTAGTAAAACTTTTTTGGTTTCAAAATGATTCCATATGTGTTATTTCATAGTTTTGATGTCTTCACCATTATTCTGCAATGTAGAAATGAGTAAAAATAAAGAAAAACCCTTGAATGAGTAGGTGTGTCCAAACTTAACTGATCGCTAACAGGAGGCTGGACAACCAGATGAAGACCTACATCACCTACAACAAGGGCCGTGATTGGAGGTTACTGCAGGCCCCTGCGACAGACCTGGCTGGCAACGACATCCACTGTGTACTGGTGAGTTATACTGACGTTAACAGGGAAGGCTCATTGCTGTGGTAATCATACATGATCTAAGACTGCCTGAACTCTTTGAGGTGCTTTCCTAGAACCAGAATAAGCCTACTCCAGGACTAAAACGGCATACTCAATAGAGAATCTCGATTGAAAGTTCATTTTAGTAAAGGAATATGTGTTCAGTTCCCTTCAAGTTATGTACATCAATGATAACTGTGTGTTACATCACACACTCATTTAAGCTATGATATGAAGATGAATTGTGTACACACTCCTTATTATTTAAAGTTATTATTAATTGATGTGCCCTATCTTACCTTTTATCCCATGTGAGGTGACTGTAAGGGATGACTATGTAGAGAAATAACTGAGACATTAGCAGTAAGAGTTCATACTGCTTAAAAGCCTAGGGAGGTAATTGTGGAGTCTGGACGGTGTGCGCTGAGTGGGTTATAGGTTGAATACGATTGTGCATTCATGTGACATTCTAATTAAGATTCCTTTTGATTACCCTGTTTAATCCCTTTGCCCTTGGTGTCCTTACAGCAGTGTCACGCTATCAATTGGCAAAGATGAAAGTGGAAATGTTTTGGGGGGGCTCTGTGAACAGATATAATTGTATTTTGTTGTCGGCTCGAACCCTCTGTATTAATGACTGATAACGACAATTAAGACAAACTATGGAGGCGCAACATGGTTTTTCAGAGGGAGGCTGCGGGAATTGGCTTACTTGTTTTGTTTTGTTAACCAAATATAGTTTGTTGTATAGTTAACTGACTATGTTAGCATTGCTGTTAGCATTTGGTGTAAATGTAACTCACTGGAAGACTTCAGAATCAAAAGGATTCTATTAGGCAGTATCTTCAGGGTTTCTGAGATGAAAGCCTGATAAAGACAGCATAGCAGCTTTTCTTTTCCTTATCTAAAAGGACCTTCTCTTCAAATAAAAAGCATATTCTTTGTGCACCTTTAAAGATCAACCCTGTAGTGTTCTATGTAACATTGGGGATTTGATTGACCAGTGTATAATGGCTTTGTCAAATATAATGGACTGTCTGACATTTCTCACCCCTCAGCCCTTCTGTTCACTCCATCTCCAACTGCAGACGTCTGAAAACCCCTACCTGTCAGGCAGCATATCAACCAAGGCCTCAGCACTGGGAATCATAGTGGCCACAGGTGAGAGAATACATAATTACCATTTGATACATAAGATTAGATTAGATTACCTTATTGTCCACTTATGTGGAATTCATTTGGCTGAATAGAAAGTAATCTATTCAATTTAGGTAATGGTACAAAAGGAGAATAGCTGTCTTTAATTTCCAGTTAGTGCTGAAATTCCATTTGATTGTGAATATTATTATGATTATGCAATCCTTAACATTACTGATGGGGATTTGCAAGTCCTGCTATAAACAACTAATCTTCAGTTGTCTAGGAAAATATTGTATCTCAGCAACGGCAACAACAACAAAAATGGTCTACATCAATGAATCTGCTTTCTTGATCTCTGTCCTCAAATAATCTTTGCTCTGTCACCAAAACAATAGTTTGTTCTCTCCTCCTATCCTCTAATCTCGTACTGGATCTGTGAGATCCCTAAGCCACTGTGAGCCTGTATAACTGTACTGAATCTGACCAGAGACATATTATAACACTTCTGATGTTGTCCTTACTCACAGATGTTAGTTTTTGGATGACGCAAAGTCCCCGGTTTATTTAAGTGGGAAAAAGCAGACTGAGGACACATGACACAACAGATGGTTTGTTTGTAAGTGTGTGTTCGGGTATTTCTACACAAACCTTTGTGTTGGCCCAGTGAATCACTCACCCCTGCGCCCTCACACACACACACATGCACACACACATCAGCTGGTGCAGAGATCAGTTCGTGAACCTGACAAACATGATGCAGCTCAAAACTCATGCCTGACACAGAACAGTGGTTGGGAGATATCACCTCGTATCAACAAAGTGGAGAGATATCCTCAGAGAGGAAAATGTTACATCATTTCTTAAGAAAAACTGAGAAATATCCATCCACATTAAACATGAATGGTTGTTCTTCTCTTCTCTACATCTATTATCTCATTGTAATTCATAGCATCTTCATATTTTCAGCATCGTTTGAATATTTAACTAATGCTTTGTTGTATTTTTACCACAGGGAATATTGGGTCTGAGCTGTCATACAATAACGTTGGAATGTTCATCTCATCTCATGCTGGTAACAACTGGAGACAGGTGAGTTTAGACTGAATCTGGAGGTTAAATCTAAGGTATTCTAATCAAGGAAAACACTGAATATTGTAGTCTGGAGAATAAGTATTTTGGACATGCTGTCTCTGCCTTTTGATCATGAGCTGTTTTGAAACTCTCAGTATTCAGATGTAAACTGCTGTAGTTTCTTACATATATTGTAGGTATGTGGTAAAAACTGTATGTAAATCATATATTAAATTGAATTGTCTGTGTGTTCTCTTTCAGATATTTGAGGAGGAGCACAACGTCTGGTTTTTGGATAAAGGAGGGGCCCTAGTCGCTGTGAAACAACCAACCGTCCCCACCAGACATTTACAGTAGGTTTAAATCTAATTCACTGTTTGTATTTCTGTAAACTGGTTGCTGTAACATGTTAGTACCTCTATTGATGTCAAAAATTGTATGTAACTTTATCTGTTGATTAAAGGCAGTTTTCAAAGTTGGAACAACTTTGCCAATGTTTCTTCACCAGGTCCCCCTTTTAGTACTTTAACACATTGCCCATCCTCTTCTAAATTGGAGCGCCGACATTTTGCCTCAGTGAAGACCAACTGAACTGAAACCACATCTCTCTTCTTCTTATATCACTTTAGAAACAATTTTTGAAATTACTTTTAGCACCAGTCAAGTGTGGAGGACGCCCTTCCTTCCTGGTTGTGTCTCCTAGACGATTTAAGTGCATTAGTGGAGGAAAGGAACACAGTAGAAGCCTTCGTAGCAGACCAGGGTTCAAATTGTATTTGTTTTCTTTCAGAATTTAATTGAGCCTTTTCATTTTCAGGAGTGCCATATGGGCGGGGTTTGCACTTTTGGGCCAATTCCATTGGATCCATTAGGCCAGGTAAGCTCAGTAATGGGCAGCTAAAGTATTTGAAAGATAACAAATACTATTTGAACCCAGGCAAGTGCTGTAGGATCCAATCCTCTCTCTCTCTCTCTCTCTCTCTCTCGCCCTCCCTCCCTCCCCCCAGCTAGTGTAAAAGTAAAAATGTCCTGCCCCTGGTATCCTCCTAATAGATGTGTATCAACACTTTGTCTGTTGTCTGAACTTATAGCCAGATGAAGGCATGTTGGCTGAGGGAGGTTTGGATGGAAGCTGCAACAAGGGGGATGCTTCTTGTATCCTAGTGCAAGACACTGCATTGTTGAGTGTTGTTCCCAACCTTGTCACACACAGTACTCCAGTGTTCTAACATCTGAAGTGATGTTGATGAGCTGTCAGAATCAATAGAGAACAGGCCCGGAGAATTAAAGTTTCCCAATCTCTTTTTTTTATTTTCCTTTTGTCTCTCCCCACCTCTCCTCCCCTATTTTGTAGTCGTTAGAACATGAAACGGTTCTATTCTGGTTTGTTTTGTATGTTGTGTTTTTTCTTGTTCACCACCCCGTTGTAGACTGTAAGTAAACCTAAGACCTATGACGTTGTTGTTTTCCCTTCAAGTTGTTATGCCTCCAAGCATTGATAGTCAGAGAGTTCTGTTTTTCTCTTCTTCTTCTATTCAGCAGAACGTGTTTTAACCGTATTCAATTAGATGCAACCTGAGATTCATTGGCTGACTGTCTATGGAGACTATTTACTCCGCTGATCTTCCATGAACCAAGTTGACTCACTGTAATTGAGTGCATCAGGGTTGGGATTCAGAGTAGGAATGCTGATCTAGGATCAGATCTTCCCGGTCTGTATAATCTCATTCATTATTATCTAAAAGACAAAACTAATCCTAGATCACCACTCCTACTCAGAGTTACACTATATATACAAAAGTATATAGACATTATAATAAAAGCATTATAATAAAAGCACTACATGAATCTATACAGGCTATTGTTGAAAAAGAGGAGAGTCTAAGTTTTGAACAGTGCTTAAGTTGTCTATCAACTGTAAAAATTTAGCGCAACAGAACCAGTTACAACTGAGATATCTGATCATCAATGAATGTGCCATTTGTTAATTAACACAGCAGTCCCATATCATCACGTAGGCCTATATGCACTTGTAACTTTTTTTCATTTGGGAAACTCTAATTTTCAATTTTATTCCAAGATATTGTTGTTACAAAATAGATTTGTGTTGATTGTGATCAGGGCATGGGAATATAAGAGCATCTGCTAGGCTAAATTAACAAACTAGGCATGCATAGCTGATCCTCAAACCAAAGACTGGCCAAACTCGTGTTTCTATTTAATGCTAAGTAAAAAAAAAAAAAAAAAAGATTACACAGCCTAAATGCAACATTTATAAGCGCGTTGTTGAAGTACTGTTGTTGATGACTTGTTGAAATGCTGAGCGCTCCTGCCAGCCTGTAGCGTGTCACAAATGTTTCACAATTGATTTCTTAAATAGCGGGCTACAGGTTGGAAATAATAATAATATAATAATACATTTCTGTTCCTTCTTAGGCTAACTGGCTTGCTCCTGACTGATTTAGAGTAATTATGTTGTTTAATAGCCTGTTGAAAGGTTGAACGTCAATTGATAGTGACAGAATCACACATTACTTCCCAAGTACATTTTTTGTCTCCTTGGCTATAGAAGGTTTTAGCACAGCCTCTGAATGTCATAGAGATGAACCATAGATATCCCACATGCATCGGAGTCACGTCTTTACCCGGAATTTTACAGCTTGTTTCTGGCATAAAGCATTGCGGACTAACACGTCGTTATAGATGACTTTATATAATCATGTCCATAAATGTTTTCCCAACAACAACAAGATAACAAGGGGGTAGGCCTATGCTTTCAGCCATTTTCTTTAACAAAAGCCACAATACCCTCACATACCCCCTCAATTCGAGCCCTGGGTTTTAACTTAATACACCAAGCTCTTCACTGACACTGAGATATTTAAGGAGTGTATGGTGACAGAAGGAATTGGCTGACAAAGTCTATGGATAGTAGACTATAATTTCATCTGTCAAACAGGTAGGCCTACCTCTTATTTCTTGAATAGGAAGAAATAGGTCAATAACTCTGATAAATAGCTTCAATTATATCAGTAGCAAGCTCACCTCCAGTCCTCCTTTTCATCTTTGCTCTCTCCCTCTCAAACTAAACAGGACATCGGTAGGCCTAGTTTTCCATTTCAAAACTCGGGAAGGAAGTACATTTTCTTAGAAATATAACTTTGCCCTGTGCTTCTCCTTGCATGCTCTTCATGTAGCCTAGTCCTAGAGCATATAGTTTAGGCTATGGATCATTTTATTGAGACCACACTAGGCACACTTGATATTGCGCACCCAGCAGAGAATCAGGGATGAGGGCATCATCGTGCAGACATCGAGATACTATAATAAGCAACTAATCCTCAAACCCTGAGAAATTTGGCATTTAATCGATTACAAATTACATGACCCTCCCCTGGACTAAATAAAACAATACTAATCCCTCCCCCTGATTGAAATTGAAAAAGCATGACCCTCCCCATTTTGCTATGGGTAACAATGATTTAACATGGTAGATGCAGTGTACTTATAGTGTTTGGGTAGTTACAATAAGCTCAATAGGTTAACATAAGAATGGTTTGACTTGCTGTTCTATGTTAATTTGACATTTGAAAATGACATACTGTAATCCCGTGTGTGTACTATATGGATTCATATCCTGTATGTGTTTCACAGGGCGAGCCGTGTTTGATGGGCCAGAAACAGATCTATATGAAACGCAGACCAGGAAACTATTGCATGCTGGAAAAAGACTATGCCAAAGTCCTCTCTGCTGAGTCATGTGTCTGTCGGGCCTACGACTTTGAATGGTAATTATAGTATACTAGTATATAGAACACATGAACACAGTAAAATAGAACACATGAACACATGTCCTAGCACATCTTTTTATCACAAATCTAAATGAGTACAGTGAGGGAAAAAAGTATTTGATCCCCTGCTGATTTTGTACGTTTGCCCACTGACAAAGAAATTATCAGTCTATAATTTTAATGGTAGGTTTATTTGAACAGTGAGAGACAGAATAAGAACAAAAAAATCCAGAAAAACACATGTCAAAAATATTATAAATTGATTTGCATTTTAATGAGGGAAATAAGAATTTGACCCCTCTGCAAAACATGACTTAGTACTTGGTGGCAAAACCCTTGTTGGCAATCACAGAGGTCAGACGTTTCTTGTAGTTGGCCACCAGGTTTGCAAACATCTCAGGAGGGATTTTGTCCCACTCCTCTTTGCAGATCTTCTCCAAGTCATTAAGGTTTTGAGGCTGACATTTGGCAACTCGAACCTTCAGCTCCCTCCACAGATTTTCTAAGGGATTAAGGTCTGGAGACTGGCTAGGCTGGCTAATGTGTTTCTTCTTGAGCCACTCCTTTGTTGCCTTGGCCGTGTGTTTTGGGTCATTGTCATGCTGGAATACCCATCCACAACCCATTTTCAATGCCCTGGCTGAGGGAAGGAGGTTCTCACCCAAGATTTGATGGTACATGGCCCCGTCCATCGTCCCTTTGATGCGGTGAAGTTGTCCTGTCCCCTTAGCAGAAAAACACCCCCAAAGCATAATGTTTCCACCTCCATGTTTGACGGTGGGGATGGTGTTCTTGGGTTCATAGGCAGCATTCCTCCTCCTCCAAACATGGCGAGTTGAGTTGATGCCAAAGAGCTCCATTCTGGTCTCATCTGACCACAACACTTTAACCCAGTTCTCCTCTAAATCATTCAGATGTTCAAACTTCAGACGGGACTGTATATGTGCTTTCTTGCGCAGGGGGACCTTGCGGGGGGGTGCAGAATTTCAGTCCTTCACGGTGTAGTGTGTTACCAATTGTTTTCTTGGTGACTATGGTCCCAGCTGCCTTGAGATCATTGACAAGATCCTCCCGTGTAGTTCTGGGCTGATTCCTCACCGTTCTCATGATCATTGCAACTCCACGAGGTGAGATCTTGCATGGAACCCAGGCCAAGGGACATTGACAGTTTTTTGTGTTTCTTCCATTTGCGAATAATCGCACCAACTGTTGTCACCTTCTCACCAAGCTGCTTGGCTATAGTCTTGTAGCCCATTCCAGCCTTGTGTAGGTCTACAATCCTGTCCCTGACATCCTTGGAGAGCTCTTTGGTCTTGGCTATGGTGGAGAGTTTGGAATCTGATTAATTGATTGCTTCTGTGGACAGGTGTCTTTTATACAGGTAACAAACTGAGATTAGGAGCACTCCCTTTAAGAGTGTGCTCCTAATCTCAGCTCGTTACCTGTATAAAAGACACCTGGGAGCCAGAAATCTTTCTGATTGAGAGGGGGTCAAATACTTATTTCCCTCATTAAAATGCAAATCAATTTATAAAATTTTGGACATTCGTTTTTCTGGATTTTTTGTTGTTATTCTGTCTCTCACTGTTCAAATAAACCTACCATTAAAATTATAAACTGATCATTTCTTTCTCAGTGGGAAAACGTACAAAATCAGCAGGGGATCAAATACTTTTTTCCCTCACTGTAGATCAACAGAAGTTTCATTGTCCATAAAAGAGAGAGACATTTCCTATGATGTTTTGTGTATGTTGTCCCATTTGAGCCAATTTTGGATTCAATACACTATTTCAGGATCCCATTCATTTGGTTCATTTTTGGTGTCAGTGCTCCAATTATCAGATATGTTTGGGGATCATTTTACGCAATTTGGTCCTAACGTCTGTCTCTCTGCTTAGCTCATTTTGCTATGTTTATAATAACGTAGAGAAGATGAGGGGTGTTGATAGGACTGCTAGGTTGTTGTTGTTTTTTATCTTCTAAAGGCAGGGAAGAGAAAGCAATGATAAATTTTTATATAAATGCCAGCGGTGTCAGGTCAAACTGTATGAGTTTTAATTTGAATCAATTAGTCTCCTGTGATAGTTGTTTTTAATTATTTGGGACAGAAATGATTATATGATACATTTCACAAACTTCCTGACCACATGGCATGTATCTCTCTCTCTCTCTCTCTCTCTCTCTCTCTCTCTCTCTATCTCTCTCTAGCTGGTGATAGAGATAGTGAAGTGCAAAAATATAAAAAACTATCTTTTTGAGAAACTTCAACGTTAACATTTAATTGACGTTGAAGTGTACACAAAAATCAAGGGCTGAAATGTTTCCTGATTGCGTAAGAGGGTGACAATGCACCGGCCTGTTGTTATGTTGTGCTGTGAACAAAAGGTCCAGAAGGTTGATTCTAAAGTGGGACAGTGACTATACTGAAATCAGAGCTTATATATACATAGATATAACACTTGATACATTATATTAATATAGCGTGAGGAGAGATTGGTATTAATATGTAACCAAAACACCATGGGAGTCTGCATGACTATAATGTATTAAACTGGACACCAAATATTTTTTGACTTACTTGAAAGAAATTGAATCAATGCATTACCAAAGCTGTGATTCAGTGGTGCTGTAATGTCCTTAACTGGACACTGTACCCTCATTGGACTCACTTGGTCCCTTAGAACTATTATCCCCTCCAACCATAACACCATAATGTCACTAGACAGTCTGTCAATAAAGGAGGAGGTTCCTAATCACACTGAAGCCAGACCAGGCCATAGGGAGTGCTAGAGGGACCTCAGGCTTTGTTGCGTCCTGTTAGTTCTGTCTATGTAATTAATTGATACATCAATGACAGCGTCATTATTAGAATGGGCACTTGCCTACTCTGCTTTGCCCGATGTAAATCACTTTGTGATTGGAGGGTAGCTAACATCAGCCGGTGGAAGTCAGCCTGTATTGGCTGTGTTGACATGGAGTCCCCCAGGGCTCAGTCTTCCTACCTCTGCTGATCTGGAGCGTTTGTCAACTGCAGCCCAATCAATACATACAGTGGGGAAAAAAGGTATTTATTCAGCCACCAATTGTGCAAGTTCTCCCACTTAAAAAGATGAGAGAGGCCTGTGATTTTCATCATAGGTACACGTCAACTATGACAGACAAATTGAGAAATTTTTTTCCAGAAAAATACATTGTAGGATTTTTTATGAATTTATTTGCAAATTATGGTGGAAAATAAGTATTTGGTCACCTACAAACAAGCAAGATTTCTGGCTCTCACAGACCTGTAACTTCTTCTTCTGCATCCAAAGAACACCATACCTACTGTGAAGCATGGGGGTGGAAACATCATGCTTTGGGGCTGTTTTTCTGCAAAGGGACCAGGACGACTGATCCGTGTTAAGGAAAGAATGAATGGGGCCATGTATCGTGAGATTTTGAGTGAAAACCTCCTTCCATCAGCAAGGGCATTGAAGATGAAACGTGGCTGGGTCTTTCAGCATGACAATGATCCCAAACACACCGCCCGGGCAACGAAGGAGTGGCTTCGTAAGAAGCATTTCAAGGTCCTGGAGTGGCCTAGCCAGTCTCCAGATCTCAACCCCATAGAAAATCTTTGGAGGGAGTTGAAAGTCCGGGTTGCCCAGCGACAGCCCCAAAACATCACTGCTCTAGAGGAGATCTGCATGGAGGAATGGGCCAAAATACCAGCAACAGTGTGTGAAAACCTTGTGAAGACTTACAGAAAACGTTTGACCTGTGTCATTGCCAACAAAGGGTATATAACAAAGTATTGAGAAACTTTTGTTATTGACCAAATACTTATTTTCCACCATAATTTGCAAATAAATTCATTAAAAATCCTACAATGTGATTTTCAGGAAAAAAAAATCTCATTTTGTCTGTCATAGTTGACGTGTACCTATGATGAAAATTACAGGCCTCTCTCATCTTTTTAAGTGGGAGAACTTGCACAATTGGTGGCTGACTAAATACTTTTTTCCCCCACTGTAATAATGATGCGTTGCAATGCAAAAAATAGCTATTATATGTATTGTGCTGAGGGGATAGGAAAGAGAAGCTGTAACATATTACACAGTAATACTGTATGTCCTTTTGATCCAAATCAAATCAAATTGTATGTATCACATGCTTCGTAAACAGCAGTTGTAGACTAACAGTGAAATGCTTACTTACGGGCCCTTTCCAACAATGCGGAGAGAAAAATATAGAAAAATAATAATAAATACACAATGAGTAACGATAACTTGGCTGTATACGCAGAGTACCAGCACCAAGTTGACGGGCAGGTGTAGGAGATAATTGAGGTAGATATGTACATATACAGTAGGTAGAGGTAAAGTGTTGATAGTGATCACATTCTGTATGTGATTTGTTATAGTGGTTATGGCTATGAACGGCGTAGAGAAGATAACTGTCTACCAGCGTTCTGGTTCAACCCATCTGTTGTATCAAGGAGCTGCAGCCAAGGACAGAACTACCTCAACAGCACAGGGTGAGTTGCACATAGGGACACTATTTTGTAGCGTTTCTATGTTGTCTATTCTAAGTGAAGGCAACCCTTCTGTATATTTCTGCTGAATGAAAGGTCAAATATTTTTCTGTGTTTTAAGAATGTTTTCCATTTCATTTTGTAAAGCATTATGTTGGTTATAATATGTTAAAAAGCCTGAATAGGTATAACACATTCCAAAAGAGAACTACAAAAACACATTAAAGCTTACAGTGGCTACGGTATCGCTCTGTATAGGTTGGCCAATGCTTCATAATCTTCCCATCTTCCCACTGTAATGAAACACTGTCAGGGTGTCACACCCACTGGTACGGCTCCTAGTGTGAATAGTGATATTGGCTATTTAGGCCTGAGTCATTCACCAGACAGTAGATCTATACTGAGTGACATAGTGTACTGCTGAGAGCTACAAAGCACTGTCAGGAGTCCTAGCACACAGATTAGGACGCCTCAGGATGGCTGAGGTCTGAGGAGAATGGTACATCTTTCATTTATTAATTTGCTTCCCTAAGGTTAAAAGTCAAGTGTTGTCTAGGAGTTAGTAAGCATTTTGGAGTTTTGAAAATGTGACCGACAACTACTGTATGTCTTGTGTCACACATTAACTTTCAGTGTTAAACGTAATGTTTTGTTTAGTAGTTACTAAGCATTTTTAAGTTTAGTCAAAGTATAACAAGTCTTGTTCACTAGCTCTGTCATGTGGAATCTTCTTAAGATACCGAAAAGTGGTGTCCAACAACTGCATCAAGGGAGTCAAGGACATGTACACACCCAGGAAGCAGATGTGTCCCAACAGGGCTCCAAAAGGCCTTTCTCTCTCCACCAGAGAGGGCAAGCTTAGCGCCAACCTGCGCACCAATGTCACCTTCCTGGTGCATCTGGATGAGGTAGAGCTGGGACAAAATGGCCTCCTTTGTGTACATTACTGTTATGAGTTGCATAGATTTTTACCTTAAGCCATTGAATGAAAAATCTATGTGTTTTGTATTGTTATGCATGGTTGTAAAAGTAGTACTAGCATGGGGTGCACAACTCACTCAATATAAACCTATATTACTGAGTGAAAGATTGATGTGTTTCCCATATGTTCAACATGGATGTTTCTCCAGGCATACGCCTGAAATTATTTCCCTGTTATGTCATCCCATATACACCAACTGCTGAAAGTTTAATAGTAACTTGCAACATAACATCACCCACACACAGCTACAGGCACTGAGCCCCGAGCCCAGAGACAGAGTAAGAGCTAAAGACCTTGGAGAGAGATGCACCCTGGAGACCCTGTTATAGAGTGATAGACGCAGAGTAGCCTCCTTCTAGGGCCAGGGCCTTACCTCACTCCCCTCACTCCCTAGGCACTTTTAAACCACATCACATTAAATTCAGGTGGAATAAGTGTGGTAGCGCTCTGCTCTGTGCGGTTGTGCTTTCCACCTGCGCTGCAGCTGAGAAGTAAGTGTCTCTCCCACGAGGTCTCTCCCGGGACAAGCTGTCATATTACAGTGTGATGAGTTGAGGAATGAAGGTTTCTAGTCTTCATGCAGCAATCCTTGAAG